AAACCGTGAAGACCGCAGAGGCTAGACGGTACTACAACATACTCTCCTTTAATGCCAACAGAATCATCAGAAAACATACTCCTCTTTTTCTCAAGATAAGTCGACAAAAAATACTTACTCCACTCTCGATCTCACCCATAGAAATATGTTCATACCTTTTTATGTGACACTTTGACAGCGCGGAGAGGACGATTTTCATAAGATATTCCGTAAGTATAGTTGATCAGTACATTTGGATATTGTTCAAGTAAATCGTCGAGCCAAGCATAAATTGCACCTAATTCATTGTGTTGTTTCCAACCAAAACCGGAGCGTTCCAAATTCTTCGGTTGTTCCTCATCGATCAATCTATTTGAAATCAGAATAAGTGTGAAAAACTCCATTTTGAATTTGTATTTACGAACAACAGTGATTTATTGCAATTATCGTAAACCATCCAAATTGTAACATAGTCGAAATTGTAACAATTGAACAAATAGACTAATTTTCTGCAAAACTTTGAAGGGTAACTGTTGTTTTTTATATCATATTTGAGAAGAACACGAAAAAAACTTCCGATATGAATATATGACTTATTTGTATTTTTTTTTGAAAAGTGGTTTATTTTGAGACTTTGTAACAATTAGAACTATGTTACTATTTGAATGGTTTACAATATTACTTTTGAAGATTGGCGATTTTCAAATGATTCTTCAATTTTAGCTTTTCAAATAAATCAACAATATCGGCAAATTTGTGAGGTGGCACAATAATTTCAGCCGTTTGCTGTATGCCAGTTGGTGTTTCCAAAAATGAAATTCCATTTGGGCCACTTTCGAAATCCTTTAGCACTTCCAACTGTTGCTCATTTTCAACCTCAATCGAATACACACGGTAGTTATCGTATCGGGCCTTTTCACCCAAACATGCCACAAAACAGGCAAACACTATGGCCAAAGCTAAGAATTTCATTTTGAAACCAAGATCACCACACCCTCCCCTGTTCGAATATTCGAAGCTCCGAAGATTGTCCCCGTTTATACACTTTTACACGATTTGAGTGTAATCTTCACGTAAAAAATGTTTAAAGAAACGCACATTTGTCAATCACTTATCTCGAACACATGTGGCTCTTTTATTTTCGTAACTAATGAGCAGTACAACTAGCTATATTTTTTGCGACTTTTAATTCAAAAATTCACATAAACTCGCACAATCAACACTTATATAATTGCCAGCCTAATCATGAATGATTCCAATGTTTCGAGTGTTGTAAACTTATAACCAATTTCAGAAACTAATTTCATTGCAGACCTGTACAATGAACTTTGTGCTTGAAAGCGATTTTCATTCGAATAAAGCGGGTTGTTACAATGATTTTTCTTCTTCATTACGTTGATTGGAAGGTAATGAGGTGACGATAACTAATTTAACTATTTATTACGCGTTCAGTACGTGATCGCTGGTATTTATTATTTCGTTGGAATTCCCGAACATTAAATGATGACACATCTTAAAATTCATATTAAAACTTGAACTGCATGCGGTTTTTAGACTATAAAATGTTGGTATGGTGTTATTCCATCCATTTTAATTGTTTCATTATAATATTACATTTATTCTGAATCATTTTACAATCTGTTGATCGAGTGGTTTTGCTTTAACTATTATAAAGAATTATTGAAAATAGTAAAATAGTTTGAGATATAGTCAAATTTTCGATATCAAAGATTTTTTCATACGTATTTAAGTGACTTCGCCTCTTTAATCATAGCCTTTAGACCATCGATAACTTCCAGTGAGTTGGGAATAATCTGGTTTGCTGGAAGAACGAATCCATAGCGGCCTATCCATCAATGTATGAGAGAATATGTAAATATGAAAGCTGATGGATTTGAGCTGACTTAAAACATAGTCGTTACCTGTGTCTCGGAACTCAAAAAAGTATGTGATAGGTACATTCAGACTGTCATATACCCAATCAATGGAACCTCCAGGAGCAATATCTAGAGAAAAGGCGAAAAAGGGTATAATTTTTAACAAGATTTCGCATACTACATTCATTTTCTGAATAAAATAAATTCAACATACAGATTGCTTCGGCAATGTTTCCGACTTTGTATTGTGTGCCGTATCTTTTGGCGATGGCTTGTTTTGTTTTCTGTCCGATTTGATTCTACAATTGAAAGTTGAAATTAATAAATCACTTCAACTACTTTTGCCGATTGTTTCCATACAGCGATAATTTGTGACTACGAAATTGGTTAACTTTTCAATTCTGTGGGCGCTGCCATATTGAAAATTTATGTGCGATATGGTGCACGCACTCAATAGTTCAACTTATTTTAATAAGGAATCTCTATAGGTGGCGCTGCCACATCGTCATTGACATCGAGTCAAATATTGTCAAATATAATAACACTGTTTATATAGGCTTTTATCGCAGTACGATTGTTTCTTACCAAATCCTTATGATTTTTCGCGTGTTGTTTTGTGTATCCCTAAGAAGATTTGAAAAGGTAATGACTTCAGTACATTTGATAAATGTATTAAATTCTACTCACGTATGGGAAGAGGAAAAGTTGACTATACGAATGGAATGAAAGGTACAGCTTAATGTTATCAAAAGATTTGATGAATTTGGACAAAGCAAGTGTTTCTGGCTCTGAAAATGGCGAAGGACCAGCGTATGTCTCTGAACAAGGGTCCGTTGAAGCGCCAACCTCTGAAATTTCAATTTACAAATTGAATCAATGATTAAAATTATTGGGGTGATATGAGCAAGAAAACTTGAAAAATATTAATTTGTTGGCGTAAACTGACAAATAGATGATTTGCAACTACAAAAAATGTATCTCGTTGTTTCTCTAATCTGTTTTGCGTTGTGTTATTCAAAATATTTCTCTTAAAAATGCTTTTAGTGCTTGTGTCCATATGGGTTGGTTGTCCGGAAGTTGGTTGAATGGTTTTCGGTTCATGATTCTATAAGTAATTATTAAAATAATTGTACAAACCTCCATGATGGCTATCAAAGTTTCGGTTTGCATCAACTCCAATGCATCTCTTATTCTTCGGGCTTGGCTTGCGTGTTTTTCTCCACATTCGATCCTAGAATGAAAATGAACACTTCTTTTTTTCTGCTTAGACATTTTCCCAATCACTCATTTGCTTACCTTTGAATGTGTGTATAAATACCTGTAGAAATCATGAATAGGTTTTAGTTATGTTTATCAGTTATTGAGTCAATTCGAAAGTTTCCGCCGCTGACATTTAAATGTCGCCACTTGTAACTGAGCGTAGCTTGACAAGTGAATCCAATTGCATTATATAGATGTGACATTTGGCAATCTAACTCAGAGCAGAAAGATTCATTTTTCGTTCTGCGTCATTGTTTTTGAATCGATTGAAAATGGATCGTGATAAGGTGTTTTTTCGAGGGGCCCTTCTTTTCTTATTTGATTCGAAGAAAACTGCCGCTGAAGCTCATCGAATGCTGTCAGATACTTATGGCGAGCAAGCTCCATCGGAACGAAGCTACAGAGAATGAACAAACAATTGAATCACACCTTATTGTTTTCACTAATTCAATATTTTCAATTCATTTAAAACAAAAGAATTTGAAAAGAGTACCTTGAATGCATTTCGGTACTATCGCACCATCATCAGCATCACGACTAAACAGAAAAGTCGTCGGTTGTCACGCAAAAACATCGGTCGGTGCAGCATCATAGCAAATGAGACAGCAAATTTGACTCGATGTTCCCGTTATCCAGATTCAATGCGTTGTTGCTCCTCTGAATAAAGTAACTTTCGTATGCGTCTAATTTGCGCGCGTCGCCTATCTCTTTCACCAGCCGTAAGTTGCTTATGTCGATATTCAAATGACCGCTGTTCAATGCATGTAATGCTAAGGCAGAGCGGTAGCCCTGTTTGTTTTTTATGCACAAACAATGTTCACGGAAACGAACTGAAATGTTACGTTTCGTTTGTCCAATGTATTCA